CCGTTACACCCCTAGTAAATATATATTAATAATTTAGGGTTTTTACATATTTTTGATATCATTTAAGTTAAAATTCTTAAATCTTTGCTTGAGACGGTGACATTCATCAGCACCCGAACAAAACCGACGCGTTTATAGCTGCTATGTCCAGGAGATCGTAAAATACAGCCACATCGGAGCTTTTTTTTTTTTACAGAATACTTTCTAATCATCCAGGCCAACCCATGTGTGATTACAGCCAGGGCTCTGGTTTGGATTTCGGGTCGCTTAATGGGACCGGCTGAGGTAAAGGTAGTGCTATCCAAACCTTGAACAAAATGTTCACTATCGTCTGATGGGTCGCTGATATGTCTGCGTTTTCCCGTGGGTGGGGGATCATCCTCGGACTCGCTGTGAGAATCTGAGCCGCTTCAACATTTTGAAGAATTTCTAAAGCCTGTTTCGCTCTTAGATTTCTTCCGAAAGCCATTTTTTCCGTATTAGCCAAAGAGTTGTAGGTAGAATGTTGTTGCTAGGTAACGTTACCGAACGTCAATCAACCGCGGGAAGAATTTACATCGCAACTAATCATACCCGCATACCCAAAGTCAATACCCGTTTATCCCTTTAGTTTTGTACAAAATATAAACTTTAATCTACCTCAACAGTTTTGTATCCTTTTAGTCATGTACAAATAAAAATGTTTTTATTAATTTTTTGGTGTTTTTTAAAGTGTATGGGGATCTGACCTTAAATATTTTTTTGTACATGACTAAAGGGATAGACACCCGTTAAGGTAGTTTAAAGTATATTTTTCTTACAAAACTAAAGGAATAAATGCAAATCTGACATCTTGCGCATGTATATTGTATGCTGGTCTGACGGGGTATGCTCATCTGACAGAACACCATCAAAATGACAGCTGTGGGAGATCGAGAAAAAATTAACCATATTTATTTTTGACGTTTTTATTTTATTTAAAATACTGCGTAAAAATTAAGAAATATAGAAACAGGAAAAGTCAATTAACATGAGCAAATAAAATTATTTCTCTTGGAAACCTCAGAACCGTCAAAGACAGGAGTTCTGGTGTTAACATGAGATATTTTTTTTGCAGCCTGAGAGAATAGACCCTCCAGATCCCACCAAACCTGATTATGACATCCGAGCAGACGTGTGGAGTCTGGGCATTTCTCTGGTAAGTCGGCTGCATGTGGCACCATCTAGTCCTTTTTTTCTGTCTTAATGTTGGCAGTGGGCTTTAGGCTGCCCTGCAAGGCTTTAAACCTGGGTTTAAC